TAGTTCCGGAATAAAACGACAGAGAAGGAAATTACAATGGACTGGGGTGATATGTAGTAAATGCTAGCAAGTCGGAATGCGATATAAGGAGGCGGTGTTAATCAAAGGTCTGCGTATCAGAGGGAAGCATTGACAAAAGCAGCAAACAGCCGCTCAGCAAATGTGTGGTGCAGGGGTGACGTGTGTGTTGACCAGGGGGTGGTCAGCGGTTCGAGCCCTGATGGCGGCAGGTTTTTACTCGTGGAACAAGCTCTCAGAAAAGTTTTATGCCAATGGGAGAGTGCAACCTTATGAATAAACAGTTAGAATTCAAAGCATTAAAGGTCCGGTGAATACGCTATCAGAATATATAAACTTCATAAATATAGACGCCGTGTGATGCACAAAAAACGAAATTCTAACTGTTGGGAAAATAAACACTGTATGCTACTCATGAGTAGTCTAATGGATGCAGGAAGAAACATCTAATTACGAATAGTGATTAACACCGAGTGATATAGCTGGATGTCGCAAACAGTGGCTCTCGTGCATCCACTCATTATTCCCCTGACAGCATTCTATATGAACTTTCCATCTTCCACTTGAATTTGCTTTCAACATTCCAATCTCCATTCTGCTCTTTTATCCAAATGGGGCACCAAAAGACAGCAACCAAAATCGGCACAAGAAAGTGCTTCGTTAACGGTTGTAAAAACTATACTAGTAATCACTTGTAGGGGATGACATGAAATACCTCAAATATCATGTACACGGATCTTCCATTCTTGTAACTTCAACGAAGGTTAATTTTGCCGTGGTTTCTTGGACTATCTATAACAGATCACCAACGATTCGCGACGCTTCTAGTTGCTGTGTACACGAAGCGCACATTGCCATCAAATACGACGACTACCCGCCGTTGGACATTGTGATTACCTATAGAGTTTGACCGCAAAACCTTAAGTATGTCTGGGAACTAGCGAGAATCGAATTTACAAAGGTGTAGTAATCAGGTGCTGTAATCCAAATAAAACACTGCGGCTGTTTGGCACTCTGGATTCAGTTCACGGGTATTTCAAGTTAGTGAACATCATGACTCAAGCTCCTTTCTTTCTGTCTACAGTCTTGCAACAGTCCGGCAGATGTGGCACCCAATTCATGGAACGCCGTACTCCTCGACAAGTTCTTTGACGATGTAAGTCGACTTTTGATTTCTTCCCCATTCCTCTTATTCTTCAGTGTACAAAAAGAGCCAAACCGAGTAAAAAGACGTGATTTAGCCTTAGCATGGATTAAACGAACGCAGTTTATAAGTTTTTCGATGAAGGAATGAGGGTTGATCAAGACACCTTGGTACGATAGCTCCTGGTCATTGTTAGCCCTGACAAGTTGTATACACACATCAAAGGTCACATAGCTGATAAGCTCACTTGTCAATTATGCAGGTGGTATTAGCTTTACCCCGGGAAAGATATGAATTATCATTAGGTACTCACGAAGCCGCCTAGTTTTCTCCTAGACTGGATCCTGAATGCAACAAAGCAATCAGGTGTAGTTTATGTGATACAACGATGATAACTATGCTAACTGAGCGCGTATGACTCTGATGGGTACTTCAGACATCGTCGCTTGAGAGATGACTGAATGTTCGACACTCAGGATGCGTAAAAATAATCGTTGAAAATGTGAGTGTGAATTGAACAGGTGAGTTTGTTTAATCGCGGCACCAATACTATGTAATCTATTACAGGGTTTATCTGTTTTTCTTATTGCTCTGTATCAAAGATCCCGAGACCATGTACACGAACGCTGAGTTATTGTATTTTCCAGGTAATCCAGACATTGCTTGCAAATCTACGGACTGAATATATTCTGAATATACGTTGTTTTTTATTTTGACCGGTATTCACTCGTTCATATCTGGCTTATGCGCACACTCTCACTGTGTCCCCGCTTGTAGGTGATCAGCAATAAATTGGGCGGTTGTTCCTATTCTCCAGATGCACTGAAAGCGCGTCGTACACTACCCGCGGACCCGACTATCAGAATTGGCACGCTACTGTCCACCCAAAGTACTCGACCGGCTCGCGTTAGCTGGTTCACTTGGTACGTTCACACCGTCCGTTTGTCTGTCATCCTTTAAAAACATGTCTTCAATATAGTGAATACACTGGCAATTTGTGCCTCATTGTTTGTTCCCGCATTACGTCAACAGTTCCCGTTCATCCAAACCCACCAATACGCTACGGATTTTCCCAGTTCACTAATTATCCCATGTTTTCTTTATTTTTCAGACTGAATCGCTCAATTGATCGACCAGCTGTCTTTCGGATACTCACCTGTGATACGTTTTGTTCACCGGGAACAATGTATTTTTTGTCAAGTAAATATAATTTTGATCTGAGTATGCTTTTTCTCCAAACGGAGCAAGGACAATAAGCCTAATTCGAAAGACAGTGGAGTTGCAAAGTAGCTTAGTGGTTGTAATTTGGAGTCACGAATGAAACTACCTGTCATCTCCGTACATGGACTAGATTTGCCAAGTACCAAGGGCCTCATAAAACTGTACAACTTTCGAAGTAACGCAGATAACGGTCTAATAAAGAGAGAAGAAATCAAAGTAAATTGTGATGTGTATTTCTCGAGATTTCGATCGCTCTGATGAATGAATCTGAAAACAGGTTTTAAATCTCCGGGAAAAAGATTGAGCTCCTTTGGAGCTGAAAGACCGTTTCAATTGGTGGACCTTATCCACCGAAGGCATCGTAGGATATGGAATGAGTCAGATGTGAACGCTTGTCGAAGATAGAGAACGCAAATCGTTCGTAATTACCAGGAAGACTCCGCTTCACCACTTTCATCATTGTTTCCCTTCTCGCAAGGTATGGACTCAAACTGAAGTTCAATTTGCTGATCCAAACCCACATATGAGTCGGAGAACAGGTACAGAGTAAGATTGTGTTGCGTTCTCGGGGAGCCCCGGCTTTGTAGGCGGAAAGCCAAACAGATTGCATGACTGCGCTTTCCTCCCACTGTCACGGCACGTGGCGGGACACGTTTCAGTGCGAGTAGTTCACCGCTGGCATTGCATGACTCGTTTGTGCCCAGAATGAGGATCCAACCGTCTTGTGATTTGGCTTTGACCAAGTCGGAAACGGTTGCCAGCTAACAGCGGTAAGCCGAATGAAAAGAGAGTGGAAAGTTAGTTCCGCTGTTCACACAGCAGAATGTTGATTAATCCAATCGGGGGCAATAAGTAATTAGTGAAGACCAGTATATGCTTTATGCAGGCACTGAGAACTGTCTTAAGCTGACGTAGATAAGATAAGCACAAGTGTGAAAACGAACTCCAGCAGCGGTTTGGTTCACCACTTCGTCGAATTGCATTTATACATCTTTCGATATGGTGAACTTTAGGGTTTCTTATGCTGCTTATCTGGTCGTATTGTTTCTACATTTCCCACAGATGAAAATCAAATTTCACCTACTCCTAATCTACGCTCATCTTTTCGTGCACACACCACATGGATTTTCCATCTCAACTCAGGCAATTATTTCTCCCTCTTTGTAAGGTCACACGCTATTCTCTTCTTGTAGAGCTTCGTCTGATTCCTTATCTTTCTTTTCCCGGATTCTTCGTACGCCTAACCAGGAACGCTCCGTCCCCAATTCTTATTTCGCAGTGCTCACTCCACCATCAAGACCAATTGCTGTTTACTTCTTTTTGACGGTTGTTGTCGGGGTAGATAGCATTCTGGAATTACTGTCTTTTGCCCGGCCATGAAACCATAGTTATTACCCACCGACCGAATGTACCAGGTTGTGTGAAAGGTGTCACTAATGGTTCCTTCACCTACTTGGTTTATTTTTTTCTTTTTTCTGTTATTCCTTGCGTCAGCCGATTACGTCACAAGGTATTGTCAGGGAAGATAGAGTCTGTGCTCAGATCGTTTTTGTTTGAAAGCCTCAGGATGGGGGATTCGGATGGCAGCTGCCACCGCGGTGTGATATGACTGATCTCGTTTTATTCGACAAGTTTACTGTAATTATGTGGATAAACCGGAATGGCCCTCGAACATCTACAGATTGATGATAATGTGTACTTCAGTGGATCTTCGGATGGGTTTCGTGTTACTTGCCAATAGGTACGTACGACCACAGTAACCAGTGCCGCGTGATTAAGTAAACTGTTTTAAAAGCCAAAAGTGTGCGGTTTTTTCACCTCTTACATTTCTCTGCCACACAGTAACCATTGCGCAGAGTGTACTTCTTACATCAAAACTAAGAACGCACATATCACTCAAAGTCCTATGCTCTGTGATCCTCGCCGCACTCAATCTGTGGCTAAATTAGACAGCGAAGGCTCTATCAAAATTTTCAACCATTTACCGAAAAGGCATACTATATTACCGTTATTAGATAATGTGCACAGCTTCTCCAGAGAAAAAGTGGATTGTGTTCGTTTCATATGTGTGCGTGGAGACAAAATACCAACAGGTGCAATAAAATTCACGTCACCGGGTGTGTGTGGAGGGTGCGATGATGTCTGGCTCAGACTTACCTGACTGCCCCAACCAGCTGCGCGCCTATTCGGATTCACCCGAGTCACATAAACACGCAACACATAATCCGTGTCCGCGTATACGGACAGACTCGGACCACGCGAGCACCCGTTTCGATCCAGTTCAATGGCTCGTGTGTCGTTTTGTCCTAATTTGGTTTTCCGGGAAGGATCTGGTCCGATCAATGTGGCAGACAGTTCCACGATGGGAAATCGTTTGATCACCTAAAGTCGTGTAGACCCAGGTGCAAAAACACAGCAAGAGGTAAAACGGTAACATGTGTAGGAAAATACACACTCCTCTGGATTACAACTGTGAAAATACATTGGAAATAAGTATCTCACATACGAAAGTAATGCCCCGAATCTGAGAGTGACAGGAACGAAACCAATGCAACTCAACCAGTTCCAAAGCTCATCTGTTTCTAACAACCAGACAAACAGCGAGGGAAAATCAGAGCAGATAGTTTTGACTCTATGTTGATAAAGCTAATTCGTGTTCCGTTCTCCACAAGGATGTACATTCTTTCTTTCGCTTAAATAGACATGGTCACTGATATACAGGTTTTGACCAAACTCGTGCAACATCACCATCATTTTGGAAATCCATTTCAACTTGCAATATCCTAGTCATATATAGATGGCTATGAGTGAAGTGTATTTATTCCTAACCTTATCTCTAACATCTAAGTTCTTAGTTCATTTCTGGCATGGTTTGAATTTGCGCGACCTTGAGTGTCGCGATAAAATTTCGAAAGTTACAGCTCTGATTTGGAAAATATTCAAGACAAAGCAGCATGAGAGTACATTCTTACTCATACTCACGCATAATCTACAATACTGGAAGAACTGAAAACATAGTCCAAGAAACATAAGTTGACCTTGAGGTGTGCAGATCGTTGAATAAGCGTCCTGTAGTGTCACCATGCCCAAACCAGATGCAACTTTCAAAAGGTTTTGGCATATGATTGGAGCAGAGGAGCAACTTGAACGAGAGGGGCGTAAATCCGTTGGCTCAGTTGGTGTCTTGTGGGAGCGCTTCGATGTGAACATAAGCCAATTTGTTGTATACTCAACGAAATTTCTCCATCAAGACATAAACCGAGAGGGAAAAAAACCGGCCATAACAAAGTAAGATGATGGTTGTATTTGATCGCAGCAGAGAAGAGTTGCACAAAACCAATCTGGATTATAGTCTGGGCTGATTAGCCATTTTCTCTCCACAATTTCATTTGTAAAATGATGGCTCAATTTAAAATGTAGCTGAGGCCACGTGATATAAAGCCGTTATTGAACTCCCAACAAAGGACGTATTGATTATACCAAGAAATTCAAATCGCTTCGCCCGTCCATTTGGCATTGGGTTTATCTCACCGATGGCCAACGAGTAATTCAGCATATTGTGAAAACTGATCTACTGAGCTAGTTTTTACCCGTCAAAAGAAGTAAATATCTACCCTGCCTAATGAGTTGGAAGGAAAGTGATTATTGAGCGCATTGTTGTTGGTCTTCTGTATACGCCAATATGGACAGCGAAATTTCTTATACTGATAATGGAGGTTTTTGATAACTGTCACTTCCAAAATGCATCCGCTGTAGTCATATTTTTCACGTATGAAGGTTGGTATATCAGCTCGCTTGAGATTGGTGATAGAAAATGGTTAGACCTAAATAGATATTATTTTTTCACATTTATAGTTTCTTGAGGGGTCGATTTCAATATCAAATTCGTTCTATTAACGCGCACCAGTTGGGATTTTAATTTAATCGAAAACTTTTCCCTTTATCAGAAACAGGGATAAGTTAGCTACCTTGTCATTGGTAGCCAGTGGTAAGGGTGTGCGGTGTATTTGAGGAAACTTGCAAATTCTGTTTGACAGTCAACTTGTTGGACTCCATGCTAAAGCGACTGCCTCCAGTGCTCAAAAATGAAGACCAAATGGAACATGGCCGAGATGAAAAGTCCATCAGTCATCTTAATAAATAAATTACAGCTGCGTTTTCTACTGTGACTTTGTTATCTTACAACTGATGCACCAGCATCCGTCGTCAAAATCGCGAAATGGTACATTTTGATGGCATGTGGCTAATAAAAGCAGTGACATAAGTGGGTATTATATCAGATACCTGATGTGGGGCAATATAACATTCAATCCCGTGAGTCAAGCTGGAAAAACGAAGCAATGAGAGGAACACATGTGACGAAAATCAGGATGGTGCACGAGTTTGGTCAATATATATATATATATATATATATATATATATATATGTATTACAGTAACTAGTACGTGAATAACTTGAAAAAATATCCCGAGAAACACGAGATCGGTTTCGCGGTTCTTACCACTTACCAGGAATGTGTATCCGGTAGACCTTGGTCAGTTCATTCATATACGTGTACCCAGGAAGTGTATTTCCGACGCAGCGATCCCATTTGAAACGCTAGATATGCTTGTTCAGATAACTCTCCAGTCTACTTATCAATCACTGCCGTGATTTGCACAGTCGACTCGAAATGAACAGTTTATTGATAACACATAAGGGATGGAGGATTGTCACCTACGGGAATGTACTAGTCCTACAACTGTCTGTCAGACCTGAAGTGAACTCTCACCAATGACCCTAGTGCTCTAGAAGGCGTTCCTCAGAACGAAACAGTTATCTAAGCGGTTCACTTACACCTGTTGTTGTATTTTGCGAATCAATACTGGACGTGAATGATCGTCAAAGCTAACACGTTGGTCACGGTCCTTTCCATGCAGCGATATATCAGTCATTCCTCAGACTGTGAGGCACCCACCAGAGTTTTGCCTATGGTAGACAATTCTTACGTGATCCGGGTTTAATCCACACCGTAATGATATGTGGTTGAATGTCCACAATCCAATGTCAATTGTTTACCATGCCTGACAGGTCCTCGGGACTGCGACAATCACTGATTTACCTGTGCAATGACGAAACAGAATAGTGGTAAGCTTATAGACCGTTAGCCTATGAGAAGATAATGCCGAGTTATCGTGTGGGACCGCGATCGAGGAATCCACTATGAGCAGTTGTGGTTTTGACCAAATGGGAATATGAGGCCAATTACTAGCCCTCACTCAAGGGTTTTGCTGGACAACTGCACATGGTAGTTATCATTTTGTACGTAAAAAAACAGACAGTTGGTTAGAAACAATCAGGACTGTCCGACACAGGTCATAGCGGATGACCTACCTCTTTGAGCCTACTGAATACGCGCGGTCGCAATTCCGATTGGAGCATGAGGTTCAACCGATCAGGATCACAGGCCACGTAATCCAACAGCTCCGGCAACGAGTTTATTAGAGAGCCGTCCGCGCGACTACCAACCAACCAAACGTACACAAACAAAAGGGTAAACAGGAAAACGGGATAAATTGTGGAGAGTGAGTAAAGGAAGCTGCTCAATTAGGCAAAATACACGAATCCAGTTCAGCTAATTGGTCCAAAGAAAGTGGAAATGAATATCGCGGTTCTGGCTAATGAATGCTAGTACGCGACAGAAGGCACTGTGTACGAATCGGAGACTTGGATGCATTCGTGAGAGAATCAAGGATCAGAGCTGTTTAGTTTTTCTCATTACCGACGGAAAGTTCTGAACACAGACTCCCAGCACCCTTTTGTTTACTTCTTTTTAGTGAAAACAAAATAAAATTTTCAGGAAGGAGGAAGCGGCCAATATAAGGGATGCTAGTTGCTTTCTTAACATTTAATGGTTGTACTAATGCATAGTTACTGTGGAAAAAGGGGACTGTTAAAAACCAAACGCTACTTGGGGAAGATGGGTCACGATTGTCTGACTGGAAATTATGACCTCCCGGTCGCTGATGTATGACGTAAAGCATTTGACCACTACCGTTCTCATAGAGTTCGCTTCAAAAGAATCACAAATACAACTTATTTTGTGGAACATCTGATGCATGGGTCGTAAATTACTCAGCCTAGAAGTGTTTCAACGTCAACTCGGAGGTATTCATGAATGCTGCTCACATCATTGTACGATTCTGATCTTGTTAATCACCAGTGATATAACAGACGTTTCTCGGTCATCGATTATCGATCGTTATTGTGACAACTGCGTCATACCTCATTCCATACATCCATCAACGGACAAATTGAATAATGATTAATTAACCGGAATTTTAATTAGGGTCTACCGAATAAGTTCATTTTCATTTTACAGGATCAGAGTTGGGATGAGGACAAGACCGTACCAGATGCACATCAAATGATTCGCGGATAGGCCTGGAAGTTGCAAAAGACCGCTTCCAGCATCCTCGATCCACAAGCCCTGGGCGACCATTTGCATTAGGAGAACACAACTGATGCTACTGGTAAGCCAACCGCATTGAGTGCATGTGTCCAACATGGCCTACACGAGGGGGGCGGGCAAAAAGAAAAAGAATGAGTGAAACATGGAACGAACCATGATGGTGCATTTGAGTTATGTGCGTCAACAAACCGGGGAAGGGTGGGGGAACTGGAAAGACAATTGGCGAATTATTTACTTGTTAGAGTGAGTGATATAGTTGAATGCGATAAACTAAAAGTTGAGGGATATGAGGTGGCAACGAAATACTGAATATGCGGTCGAACGTTTCATTAGACGATAGGGTTAATTAACATGGATAGGGATTTCCCGACCGACGAGACACCGGTTCTGATAGATCGCAAATTCCGAGCACTGGCTAACCATGTGGTTTATAAAAGGTCCCTCAAGTCAAACTCTTAACCCGGAATGGATAACCGAACAGTACCCATAAAAACCCTTCACAGTGACACTGTCATAGGAAAGAATATAAAAAGTACATAGACATTACCATTTTGTGAGCATTGGTTTTTGTTACCCACAGTACTGGCTGGCATTCTGAATGATTCTGGTTAGTAGGTTAAGGTCGATTCAATGATTGTATTATATGAACAAAATCAAAGGAACAGAAACTATCCATCTATTTGCATCCAGTGATGTATGTACCCGGGGCTAGCACCCTTGGCAAAATCTAAAACTGATCGAACCGGGTGAACACGGGTGTTGTACTAAACGGAACGCCTCTTTAATCCCAGTTCCCAACTTTTCTATCGCCTGCAAGCAAATTTACCGAGGAACAGACGCTATGTATTCGGAGCAGTAACAATTCCAACAAGAATCGATACTGTGTAATATGATTCACTTTCCTGGTAATGCGCACAAAGGACTATGCAGCTGGTTGACCTGATGCATATCACAATACAAGAGTGTGAGGCCTCCTACGTGGGGAGATTGTGATAACTGTGCGTGATTTTTAGAGACACCGAGTGATACAACTGGGTGTCGTAAAGAGTGGTTATCTTGCATCTACTCGAAATCGTTGAAACTGCTTTAAAACATTTCAATTTTCGTTCTACTTCTTCATCCAAACGGATGGCCAAGGGACCAACAAAAGGGGTCTCATGAAAGTACATTGTCAACGGTTGTTCAAACTGAAACTGAGAATTATCAGTTACCTTTCCTGATATCACTCACGCACAACACACTAAGCTTGCCTGCAACCCGGTGATTATATATATATATATATATATATATATATATATATATCTCTTTCGCAGTCAATGGAGAGAGAAAGCGGCAAGACACCGTTGTCTTGCACACGAAAAAAACATAGAAAGTAGCAGAAAACCGGAATAATGGATGAAATACTTGAAGTACCGATCGGAACAACCAATGAGAAAAAGCTTCCATATTTACCTGTAAAATTCGGGTAGCCTGATCCAAGACAGAGCGTGTATCCGTCACATAGTCTGCGACCGGGAGCTCGTCCAACCGAGAGAAATGAGCTTGAAGCAATAAATGAGTCTTTGTGTGCGGGCATTCCATCGGACCGATGGCTGGGAGCGGGACGTATTTGGACAGTTGTTGGTTCATCTCATCCTCATTGTGGCGAACTGGCAACAGGGCGTACTCGTGCGCACTCTAATTAGAGACCCAGAGCGTGGATGAATGGGGATTAGTACGGAGTGTCAAACAGAAACGGCGCAACTATCGAAAAACAAGGTTGATTTGTGTAGAAACGAAGTCCACGTCGAAAAAGGGAAGGTTCAAAAAGAAATACATCCGAGAACAACTGACTGGAATGCTACCCTTGCGGTTTACTACTATCCCATAACTGTCATAGTTCTTCAGTTTATCGACTTCTTTTGGTCATGTGGGCACGGCAAAAGGGGGATAACAGCACTTCAAAGCATGGGGGTGGAGGGTGGGGTGGCGCTGTGATTTAGTCGCGTGCTTTGGACCCTGTGGTCCGAGTCCAGCCACCACAACCCCCAACTTATGTGGTAGGCAGCTTTTCTGTTGTCCAGTTCAATATCACGCATGACCTAGCGGCGCCTTATGTGATTCGCCACTCCAAGTCCCGGAGCTTAAGTTGCGGGTTACCATCACTGAACAGCAGGTCCTCATGATTATGGGGCTTTCACTGTCTGTTATTCATCACACTAAGGTGTGTAATAAAACATCCTACGGACCCAAGATAGAAATTGGATAGCATGTTGAAGTCTCCTATCTTTCGGTTGTACACAATAACGTAGGCAGTGGTAGTTAAGCTATCCAAGAAGCCGACGAGTGTATTATGGTAGTCGAGACGCTTGATTACCGTGGATGACATAAAGCGCTTAGTGGAATGTAATCCGATCAAAACACAGGACACAATTGCACTAGAGCGCAATTATCTGCGTCCTCGAACAGTTAAACTCTTGCGGCTTGGATGCCCAAATTGGTTGCGTATCGAATGTTTGTGAATGAAAGTTACTTACCGCAAGGATAGCCAGTAGATCGTGTGTCGTGCAGTCCGCACGAAGTTTCTCAACGAACAAGTGAATTGTTTTGTGCGACAGATAGTAGAATGAGGCCAAACGACCCATCTCGGTGTAAATGAGACCATCTGGTCGATCTGTGGCGAACTGAATACAGTGTGAAGAGACCAGCTGATTGCAAGCATTCAGGACGATTTGAGAGAGATAGGCACTGACTGAGGACGAGCTACAGTCAGCCAATCCGTAATAGCTTGAAGGAAGAAACACGAGAGGTTAAATTTGTTTGATAACCGAAATATCCCGGGGTAGAATGCACAAAACACACCATAATATCTATTTTCGTTGGAAAAACTACGATACAGTCATGTTGCAGAAACTGAACCAGAACGAAATGCACATCAGGGATCACAATTACATAATCTTATTGCAAACCCCAATTTCTTTCGCAATTCTATCCCCTTTAGCCAACTGTTGGTTCTATTATAAACTGTGTTGTATTCATGTAGCTTATGTGCTATTGTCAAAAAGAACAATCCAAGACTATCTGGAACCGGTGGTTAATTTGAACAAACAATGTCCCAGCAGAAGTGAGAGTAACGATCGAATCGCGCGACTGATGACATCAAATCGTTGTAATTTATAGCACGTGTGAATGCAACAGTGACTTGGAATACGAAATGCATGGACCACACATTTTACCGGATCCTAATCAGGACTACAAGATTTCGTGTTCCAACTGGGATGTCAATCGCTCACCCCGGGGGATGGGGAGCTTGAAGTTAGGTGGATCAGCTCAAAAAAGAACGAACAAAACAAGCAATCCGTGTCCGCTAACCTGGGATTAAGCATCAAACGGCGGAAGAAAAATGTCCATGTCAGATAGTCCAACGCTTCTTGCATCGAGCTGATGGTGCCTGCGACAATCTCAGCGTTCAAATGATCGGGTAGCACTTGCAACAGACAGCTCTCCACCGGGAATGGTTCGTACAAGAAACGTTTGTAGAACGTCTTTTTCGTATCCTGAACCATGATGACCGCTTTACCCTGATCATCAAATTGTGGTCGACCGGCGCGACCCATCATTTGCAAGACATCTGTAATAGTGGGAGTAATGTGAGAAGGACTGAGTGTCGGGCATTTACGAGAAACAAAAACGGGATGGGAAGGGCGAAGTGTGGATACCGAAGGGACCGTCGCTGATTGCTGTCAAACTCACAATGCGTGCAGTGTTGACAGAGACTGAGCCCATTTTGAGGAGCCAGAAAGAAAATGAATCCCTCATCGTTTAGACAGTACGCAAACTAACTGTGCATTAGTATATTATAAGCACTCTGTCTTGACAGGAAATGACAACAAGAACGCCACTGCTGTCGGTTCGCTACCATATCTAACTAACCAGATACAGAGACT